TGCGACACTGGCATCTCCTATCCCAGGGCTGATTGGCGTCTCGGCTGTTCTGCTCCCAACTCAGCTCCCTGCTAATGGCTCAGCCCCGGCCGTTGTAGCCACTGGGGGAGTGATGAAACCAGCACGTGGAATATTTCTGTCTCTCCTTCCCTCTCTGTCACTCTGCCTTTCAAATAAATAAACAAAAAGGTGGTTGCCATTCTTCACTCCCACCAACGAAGCGTGAGAGTCCCAGTCTTCCGAAGTAGCACCATCACTGCTGTGCAGACAGACAGACGGACAGACAGACACACGGCCCTAAACCCCCAGTGCGGAGGGGAGGAGTTAGCGATGTGGATGAACTGTGTCACCCAGACAGCCAAACCAACCCAGGCTCTGTTTTTGCCCCCTTCGGAGGGTATCGTCCCGGCCACGTTTGCCCTTAGCCCTCCAGGCTCACCCAGGTTCGCACTTGGCTTTGCATCCAGAATTTCCTGCAGGGTACCTGCAAACTGGAGAGTAGACTGAGGTTAGCTGGCAACTAGCAGGGTTGAACCGACTTGCCATCGGCACTTGGGGGCCGGAATTGTCTGGCGGTGAGCAGCGGGGCGGCACCAGTCCTCTTGTGCCGTTTGAAGAGCTGCCGTGTGGATGGAAACGTCCACTGGTGCCATCCGTCCTGGGCCACTGGTGGGTGTGCACAGCTAGGAGGGCGTTTCTGACTCAGCCCGGGGGACGGTGGTTTTGACCGTGTGGAGAAGTCCTTGCTGCTGGAGGCATCCATGCGGAGCTTGGACGCAGTGGCTCTGGTCTGCTGTGGGGTGGGAGGCCAGGCAGCCTGCCAGCTCCCTCCCGGCCGAGAGGCTCTGCCGACCGGCTGAGTGCATGGACGTGAGAGGGAGCAGCCCTCTGGGTTTGGGCCGCAAAGGGGAAGGGGCCATTACTGGCTCATCACATTCCTCACCCCACTTCCTGTGAGTGTTTGGGGAGGAAATGAGTAGCTGCTGTTGCTGCAGCTGCCACTGTCAGGGGCCAAGGTAGGCAGATCAGGGTCGGGTGGGGAGGGGGGCCAGTAACCATGGATCACGTCCAAGGTCAGGCCTGGCTGGACCTCGCAGGCCCTGGCAGCTCACGCGGCAGCTGAATGTAGGTCTTTTTTTTTTTTTTTTTTTGACAGGCAGAGTGGACAGTGAGAGAGACAGGGAGAAAGGTCTTCCTTTACCGTTGGTTCACCCTCCATTGGCCGCTGCGGCCGGTGCACGGCGCTGATCTGATGGCAGGAGCCAGGTACTTATCCTGGTCTCCCATGGGGTACAGGGCCCAAGTACTTGGGCCATCCTCCACTGCACTCCCTGGCCACAGCAGAGAGCTGGCCTGGAAGAGGGGCAACCGGGACAGAATCCTGCGCCCCGACCAGGACTAGAACCCGGGGTGCTGGCGCCGCAAGGCGGAGGATTAGCCTAGTGAGCCGCGGCACCGGCCCTGAATGGAAGTCTTAAAGGAGCCCAGTGCCGCTGGTCAGCGTGTGGCTGGGAGGACTGATCGGGACTCCCATGGTATAGCCCAGACCCTGAGATCTTGCCTGAGCATGGAACCTAAGGCTGCTGCCGGCTCGGTGAAGACCTCCAGTGGGTGCTGTGGTCAGCAGCTGCTGCCACTGCTTCCCCCTGACCTCCAGCCTTGAGGGAGGCTGTTCAAGGGCAGTGTCGGTGTGTGAGCCCGGGCCTGAGGCTCCTCTCCCTTTTCTCCTGGTCGACTGTGGTTAGAGTTTGATGCCAGCGGTGCCACCTTGGGCCTCAGCCAGCCCGAGGAACGTGTCCAGGTACAGGCGACGGCCCTGAGATCGCAGCTGGTGATACAGAACCCGCTCGGCAGCCGTGTGGGCTGGGGGAATGAGCGTGAATGTTGGAGTCGGCACTGGGGAGTGCCATCTGGCTGGGGGGCTGCAGGCCCCTCTGAACCTCAGCCGTCACAGGTTCCCACCAGACCATCACTGTGTGCTGGTTCCAGCACCTCCCCTTCCTCTCGTGAAATCCCAAGAGCAAAATAAGGCATCTTTAAAAAGAAAAAAGAAAAAAAACAGCTGGGGGCTGGCATTGTGGTGTAGCAGGAAAAGCAACACCTGCAGTGCCGGCATCCCATATGGGCACAGGTTCAAGTCCCAGCTGCTCCACTTCCGATCCAGCTCCCTGCTAAGGCGCCCGGGAAAGCAGCAGGAGATGGCCCAAGTGCTTGGGTCCCTGCACCCCTGTGGGAGACCTGGAAGAAGCTCCTGGCTTCCACTTGACCCAGCCCCAGACATTGCAGCCATCTGGGGAGTGAACCAGCAGATGGAAGATTTCTCCCTCTCTCTCTGTAACTGTTTCAAATAAATCTTTAAAAATTAAAAATTTCTGTATGTATTTATGTCATGTGACTGAAAAGATATAGCTAGAAGTATTCCAGTGAATTCTTTCCGTTATTTGTCTTTATTTAGAGGACAGTCTTCCATCCACTGGCTCACTCCCTCAAATGCCCCTCAACAGCTTGGGCTGAGCCCAGCCAAAGCCAGGCACCAGGAACTCCATCCTTGTCTCCCATGTGGGTGGCAGGGGCCCAAGTACTTGAGCCATCACCTGCTGGCTTGTGGGCACATTAGGAGGAAGCTGGATCAGAAGTGGAGCAGGGCGCTGTAACCAGGCACTCTGGTATGGGGTATGGACCTCCCAGGCTGTGTCTTAGCCTCCATGCCACATCCCTGTCGTCATCCAGCTTTCAGTATCCTCACTTTGTCAGCTGTGGGAGCATTGGAGAGCGCTAGGTTTAAAAATGGATTCTGAATAAATTTATTGAAAGGGCAGATTGAATTCTAGTTCACAAACTCCTAGGATTGTCTTGTCAGTTCATAAGTGCTTGTTCTAAAACAAATGCACATTTCTAAAATTGGTATGTTCTATACAATGAGTGTCCAGTGCGACACTGATGCCAAGTGGTCACGATCACTCAGGTGCACAGAACAGGCCGTTTCCATCCACTTTCCCAGGGCCCAGGGTGGCCAAGAACTAGGTGAAAAACGCCCCTTCCCCAGCCAGCGAGGTGAGGAATTGCGTGGATAGGCGTGGCGGTTGCTGTAGTTCTTCCTGGTTCCCCCTAGGAGAGCAAGGGTTTGGCCTGGGCCCCGTGGCCTCAGAGGCTGGGCTTGGCACTTGTGCACTGGTGCTGTTCAGCAGGGAGCTAACGCGGGACCCCCTGCACCTTCTGGACTATGTGTCCATGGGTGTGGAAGGAGAGCTAAGCGCTGGCCATCTCCAGCGTCGCACATCCACGTCCCCGCCCCACAAGGCAGCAGTGTTTGGGTGGCCTCTGCCGTGAGTCAGTCTCTGTGTCCCCTCCTGTCTCCTGTAAAGAAGGCACAGAAACTTCTTTTCAGACATGCAGCTGCTCAGTGCGTGACACTGCTGTCATTGCCCACTCTTTAAGAACTTCTCAGTGACGCCGTCCTGCGGCTGGGGCTGGGGTACAGTGGGTCAAGCCGCCACCTGCAGTGCTGGCATCCCAAATAGGTGCTGGTTCAAGTTCCGGCTGCTCCACTTCTGATCCAGCTCTCTGCTATGGCCTGGGAAAGCAGCAGAAGATGGCCCAAGTCCTTGGGCCTCTGCACCCTTGTGGGAGACCCAGAAGAAGCTCCTGGCTCCTGGCTTCAGATCGGCACAGCTCTGGCTATTGCGGCCATTTGGGGAGTGAATCAGTGGATGGAAGATCTCTCAATCTCTGTCTCTCCGTCTCTATATCTTTCAATTAAATGAATGGATCTTTAGACGCAAATAAGTAAAATCATCATTTAATTACGATAAACAGTGACTCCCATGGCCAGCACCACGGCTCACTAGGCTAATCCTCCGCCTGCAGCGCCGGTACCCCGGGTTCTAGTCCCAGTTGGGGCGCCGGATTCTGTCCCGGTTGCTCCTGTTCCAGTCCAGCTCTCTGCTGTGGCCCGGGAAGGCAGTGGAGGATGGGCCAAGTGCTTGGGCCCTGCACCTGCATGGGAGACCAAGAAGGAAGCACCTGGCTCCTGGCTTCAGATCGGCGCAGCGCACAGGCCGTGGTGGCCATTGCGGAGTGAACGAAGAGGGACCTTTCTCTCTTTCTCTCTCTCTCACTGTCTAACTCTGTCAAAAAAAAAAAAAAAAAAAAAAAAAAAAACACAACAGCAACAACACAGTGGCTCCCTTTCTCTCTGGCACAATCTAACCCCAGTCAGGTGATGACGGTGGGGGTGATGGGGTTGTTAGCAGAAAGAAGCCAGGTTTATGTCGCGGAGTAAGGAGATTCAGACCGTGTGTTCCATCTTTTTCCCTATTGTCTCGGGGCTCCTCCTTAGGGCGTTTGTTTCAGAACTCGGTAAAATAAGGTCCTGGAACTCGGCGCACCTGTAGGACTTTCTGGAAGAGCGCTCTGTCGGTGGAGGCGGCTGCCAGGCCCGGGGTCTCAGAGCCCCGCTGCTGGCTGAGCGGCTCCCAGGACCTGCAGGTCCTCGACATGCCGTGACCCACAGGGGAGGCTGTCGGGTCTCAAGTGCTCCAGATGTCTCCTAACTCATCCCCAAAATTGCTCCGAAGGCAGAGAAGAGGGACTCTCGAGTGAGGGTGGGGTGAGGGCGCTGGGGGGGGCAGGTTTGGTTATTGCTTGGTTCCCCAACTAGAGGGACAGTGTGGGTATCCGGGAATCCTTAGTTCTTTAAAATGGCATGTCCCAAAGGCGTCCTTTTCTGTCTGAGGAAGAACGGGGCACCAGAGAGTCTGCTTTCGTCCCCTTCCTCGCCGGTGGAGTTCGTGAAAGTGGTCCTGACAGCAAGAGGTCAAGCAACACGTTGGCTCGGAAGAGCTTTCAGAGGGGGCCAGGCCCGATAGCTTCGGGGAGACGGCAGTCACTGGATAGACTCTGTGTGTCCCCAGTACTAAGCGTGAGACAGAAAAGAAGCTGAGAGCTGGGCAGAGTGTTTGGTTCCATCACACGTGTGCGTGTGTGTGTGTTCCTTGCAGACATATGAAGATTCACGAGAAGGACCCCACCAGCACCACGGCTGCAGCCCCCCCGTCCCCACTGAAGCGCAGGCGGCTGTCCTCCAAGAGGAAGCTGACGCACGATGCAGAGTTGGAGAGAGAGGACCCGGCCCCGGCTAAAAAGGTCTTCTCGGCACCCCCGGGCGCAGGCGGGCCTCGGCACAGGGCTGGGGCAGGACGGCTTCCAACCTTTATTTCCAGTGTGGGGACTTGGCCAGCGTCCACCCCGAGCTTTTAACCTGTGCGTTCCCACGCCGTTTCTGTGGCGGGTCTGAGGAATCTGAGTACCTGGGTGTGCTTCCTCTGCTGAGCCCAGGGTGGGGTGAACGGGCTTTATAAATTGTCTCTGGAGCCAAAACGGAAGCCTCATCCACGTGGACATGCCTTGCTCTCGCACCCTTATCCCTGGCGCCTGGCCGGTAGCAGGTGCTGCATGCTGGCCAGATGGATGGTCATGTGAGTGAATGAGTGGATGGTTGTGTCCTTAACACTTGCCTGGGTGGGAAACACCGCCCTCACTGTGGGTGGGCGTCTCTGCAGCAGACCCGGGTGGGAGACCCCCACCCCCTTAGTGACCCGGCTTTTTCTTCTTCCCTAAGATGGTGGAAGACGGACAGTCAGGTGATTTGGAGAAGAACGCTGATGAGGTCTTTCACTGCCCAGTGTGCTTCAAGGAGTTTGTCTGCAAGTACGGACTGGAGACCCACATGGAGACCCACTCGGATAACCCACTAAGGTAGGAGGACTCCCTTCTCGTGCGTTTCTTCCGCCCTGTGACTCCTACTTGTCGCTGCCTGCTGCTCTCCAGTGGTTGAGCGTGTCCATGGCTCCTCAGGTGCGGGGCAGGAAGTCGGGCTGAGGGCTCTCAGAGGAGGGTGGCTGGATCCGCGGGTGCGCAGCTGTGGTTTGCTCTGCCTCCTGGGCCCGGCGAGCTCATCCCACCCCCGCCTGGCCTCATAGGATGCTTTCGGGAAACACACACATTTTCTTTGCAAAGGGTCTCTCAACCCAGTTGGTTGCTAGCTGTACGTGGAGCTGTGATCCAGACAGGGATGCCCAAGTGTCTATGCCCCCCCGCACAGCACTGGTTTGTGGTAGGTAGCTCAGAAGTGTCTGCATCAGGCTGGGCTGGCCCCAGGAGCACAGAAACTCAACAAAGTGTTCTGCCTAGCACGAGACATGGCCATAAGCAAAGCCTGTCGCGTTCCAGGAAGACCGAGGGGACCGAGCTGCAGGGCCAGCGCCGGCCTGACCGAGCAGACCTGGTGGGGGATGGAGGGCTTCCCCCCAGAGTTCAGGGGACTCCTTCCCTTCTTTATCTTCTCTGAGGATCGAGTGCTTGATGCGTGGATGGGTTTAGAATTTCTGCCTCTAGCCGTGAAACTGCCGGCTGGGACCTTGCATCCCACACTGGAAGGCCTGGGTTCAAGTCCCGCTGTGCTCCTGATTCCGGCTTCCTGCTGATGTGCACCCCAGGAGGCAGCAGGTGTTGGCTCAAGTGGGGTCCCTGCCACCCACGTGGGAGACCTGGATTGAGCTCCCAGCCCCTTGACTGGCCTTCACAGGCATTTCAGAAGTGAGCAGCGGATAGGGGAATGCTCGCTCGCTTGCTCTCTTTCTGCCTGCCAGATGAGCAATCTTTTTAAATACTTTTCTCCTATAGAATTGTCACATTTACAGTGTGACTGTTGGGTAGGCATTGGGGCTCAGCAGATGGCGCTGCTGCTTGGGGCGCCTGCACCCCACATTGGAGTGCTAGTTTGAGTTCAGCCTCTGTTTTCAATCCAGCTTCCGGCTCATGCTCCTGGTGGGCGGCAGAAGATGGGTTCCTGCCATCCTGTGTGGGAAACCCAGATAGAGTTCCTCCCTCGCTTAGGCCTTGCGAAGCCTTGGCTATTGTGGGAGTAAACCAGCAGGTGGAAGATACTGCTGTTGCCCTCTGTCTCTCTCTACCTTTCAAGTGAATCAATAAGTAAATAACTATTTAAAAGAAAGCAAGCCATGGGGGAACGCGAAGGAAGCCCATCCTGGAAGCCACACACAGCGGAGGCTCATCCCTGGGCCGTGGGCAGCCTCTGCCCAGTTGTAGAAAGCTACGACTTCTAGAACTTCTAGAAGGAGGCTTGGGAGTGCAGTGCAGGGACTTGGGCGTCCGTTTTCCTGAATCCCTGGTGGACGAAGCAGATGTCCTGTGCACTGGGAATGAAATGATTCTATCTGTCGGGGGCAGAGCCTCACCGTGTGGTCCCTGGAAGCCAGCCAGGTCAGGTGTCCGGCCCCTTGCACAGGTGCGTCGGCAGTTTTCCGTGGGGGTGGGGTGAGAAAGCAGAGGGAAAGTTTGCTGAGCAGTTGCGGTGAGGTCTTCCCCGAACCGCGTGGGCTCGGGAAGTCGTCCGCTGGGCTGGGTGTCAGGCCCAGGCCCTGCTCTGCTCACCTGCAGCCTCCACCCCCTGCACCCCCCCCTTCACACTAAAGGAGGGGCAGCACCTGGCCATCCCAGTGTCCCTGCCTGGGCCTTCCGCGTCTGTGATTCTAGACACCGTTGTTGCTTTGTGTCTGCTGAGAAAACGCGTCTGGCCTTCGCTTTTGCTTCGCCGTGTGCTTCTGAGATCCGGGAACGCAACTTTGCAGCTTTGCCAACGGCCGCAGCATAGCCAGGATGTGGGTGGCCATGAGTGGGGGACACTGGACTAGTTCTGTGTGTGTGTGTGTGTGTGTTTTTTTAAGATTTTATTTATTTATTTGAGAGGTAGTGTTACAGACAGAAGGAGATACAGAGAAAAAGGTCCATCTGCTGGTTCATTCCCCAAATGGCTATAATGGCCGGAGCTGAGCCAAACTGAAGCCAGCAGCCAGGAGCTTCTTCCAGGTCTCCTACACGGGTGCAGGGGCCCAAGGACTTGGGACATCCTCCACTGCTTCCCCAGGCTGTAAGCGGAGAGCTGGATTAGAAGAGGAGCAGTTGAGACACAAATCGGCGCCTATATGGGATGCTGGTTCTGCAGGTGAAAACTTAGTCCACTATGCCACAGCACCGGCCCCTGGGATGGTTCTCTAGACCGGGCAGCTTGGCCAGCAGAGGAGCCAGACGAGGAGGGGCATGGGTAGAGGCGGCAGCAGCAGCCAGTGGGACCCTGGCTCCCAGCTCCTGCACGGCCTTGCCTGCCGCACAGCTGGCCGATGGTGAACTCACTGCTTGTACTTGCGCTACTCGTGTCTTCTGTCTCTCTCTGATCAGGTATCATCTTAGAAACTACCCATCGGCCCCCTTCTCCTTGATTCTGTCCTGCAGGAAAAATAATGTGGCTCTCAGGAGACGTCTCTGCACAGCACCGTGTCCCTTTCTGAAATGCTGGCCGGCATATCCTGGACAAGGAACTGCCCCAGGGAGAGGCTGGTGGTGTCCTCAGCGTGGGCGGAGGTGGGGATCGCCCTGGACGCTGGTGGCTTGGGCCATGTGCAGGACAGGCAGGATGTGGTAGGCAGCTCCCCCGCCCCAGCGTCAAGGCTGCACGTGCAGCTACAGAGTGGTGGGTCTTCCTCACCTACACACCGTTCATGCCCTTTCGCCGGTGGGGGTCTTGTGGTCTGGCCCCACAGCAGCTGGCGATGACACGGCCAGTAAAGCAGAGGAGGAAGTGGGATGAGCGTTTGGCACAGTGGAAAGCCACCAGTCAGGACTCAGGCATCCCATGTTGGAGTAGCCTGGGTTTGAGCCCCAGCTCCGCTCCCAACTCCTGCTTCCTGTTAATGCACACCCTAGGGAACAACAGGTGATGGCTCACGTAATTGAGTCCCTGCTACTGACATCAGTACCTGGATTGAGTTCCCAGCTTCTTGGCTTTGGCCTGGCTATAGGGAGCATTTGTGAAGTGAACTAACAGATAAGAGATCTAACCTCTGTTTCTTTCCCTCTCCCTCTCCCTCTCCTCTCTCTCAAATAAATGAAATTAATTGATTAAAATTTCTAGAGAGGTGGCTAGGCATCCTGGGTGTGGGGTGAGCACCTGCCCCTGCCTGGTGGCTGTAGGTAGGCATGGTTGCTAAGCGGGGTGGGGCAGGTATCGGGAAACCAGAGGGAGCCGATTACAGAACGTGGTTAAGTCCCTTTCTCCTCTCTGCCCTGCCAGTCCACATAATAGCCTGCTATTGGAGGAGGCCTTCGGGGCAGGCACAGGCCAGCAGGGCCTAGCCAGGCAGTGAACTGTGACACTGGCTCGTGGGAGAGACTGCTTGTTAGCCCAGAGCTAAAATAGCCACCAGCTCCATTTTCAAACCCAGAGGCTGCAGAACCACAGTGGGATGCTACCAGTTTAGACAGAAAGTTTCTAACTCAAACCAGCTGTTGGCCTCGCCCTGTGGTGCCTTTGTGCGCTTTCCCTCCCACCAGAGCTGGCAAGGCGCCTGCTGCTCCTTAATAAGACAGCGCTGGAAATCCCAGCTCGCAGAGGCTGGGTGCCCCTTCCTCTGTCCTGCTGCATTCCGCATTCGCAGGGTGTTGGTGTAGGATGAGAGAAAGACAGGAAGCCACCTGCGGATTCCTTTAGCCCTTGGGGTCCTGCGTGGCTCGGGGCCCCCCTCCCCACAGCTCCTCAGAGAAGGAAGAGAGGCAGGGAAGGGTGCAGCGTGGAGCTCACTGGGTGCTGGCATTTGGAACCGGAGGCCAGGGACGGAGTGTGCAGGGAGCGGAGAGGACGTGCCTCGGTGTGAGGATGCTGCTGGCACTGTGTCCCGCTGGCACGTCAGACCAGACCAGAGTAGCCGAGGGCAGCAGGCTGCACACTGCTGGGCTCGGTGGGGCCAGGTCCGCAGCCCCCTGTGGCAGTGGAATGGGCGTCCTTGGAGGCTTTCCCGGAGCTGCGCTCTGAAAGGTAAAAAGTAGGTAGGCATCTGACGTGGTGCTGAGGATCCCGCTTGGGGAGCCTGCAGCCCATGTAAGAGTGCCCAGGGTCCAGTTCCGGTTCCTGCCAACAAACACCCTGGGAGGCGGTGGGTCAGGGCTCAAGAAGGTGTGTCCCTGCCACCCACTCTGGCGACCTGGATTGAGTTTCTGGGCTCTCTGTCTCCCTCCCTCCCTCCCTCCCTCCTCCCTCCCCCTCCCCCCTCCCCCTCCCACTCTCCTTCCCCCTTTCCCTCTCCCTCTCCCTCTCTTGTGTCTGTCTTGCTGTCACTCTCACTGTCTTTTTAAAATAAAAGTACAAAAATATGCAGTGGGCAGGGGCAGGCAGGTGTTTGGCCTGGCGGTTAGGACACCTGTGTCGCCGTGCCGGTGCCTGGGCTTCATGCCTGGCTCTGGCTCCCGATGCCTGCTCACGTGGACACTCAGAGCGGCAGCGATAGCTCAAGGAGTTGTGTCCCTGCCGCCCACTTGGGAGACCTGGATTTGACGCCGACCAACATGGACATGTGGGGAATGAACCAGTGGATGGGAGTTCTGTCTGTCTCTCTACCTGTCAAATAATTTTTTAAAACAAATCACTAACTACAGAAGCAGGCAGAGTGAATAATGCTGCGATTATGCCAATGTAATCAAAATGTAATGCCGTTGGCTATCCGTGTAGCAGCTGGTGGTGACACGTTCTACAAATGCAGTCTCCCTTGGCGGAGATGCAGTCCCCCTGGACACCAGACTCTTGGATGCTCCAGTTCTTAAGTCAAATGATGTGGTATTGGGCCGGCGCCGCGGCTCACTAGGCTAATCCTCCGCCTGCGGCACCGGCACACCGGGTTCTAGTC